TTCGTTTGGAAGATATATTCAAATAAAAACTCTCCCCCTTACATTTCTTACGGACGTTTCGTACTTTGAACATTTTTAAGATTATTTTTCTTATATCTCCAGTTCCTATTAACGTTTGCAGATCGTTCTAGTCTTAAGATATTCAGTGATGTATGAGCTTTCATTTGAGCTATTGATCTTTAAATTCGGTTGAGTTAGAGCGTTAGAGTCGAGCTACGAACCCTAACACAATATTAAATTTAACTTATTACAAATCTGTTTATTTTATTTTATTTATTTATTTGTTAACAGTTGCACCATTTTTACATGAATAATACAATAATCTTACATACGGAAGAAGCAGAAAAAATCACAGGCCAGTACAAAAGTAGTGAAAAAAAACTGGAAAACAAGACTTCAATACAAGACATAAAAAGATAAATAACAACTATAAATAACAAACTATGAATAACAAACTATAAGTAACAACTATAAATAACAAACTATAAATAACAAACTATGAATAACAAACTATAAGTAACAACTATAAATAACAAACTATCTGAACAAGTTGACAAAACGAGATATTCGAAAAACAAAACCAGTATAGGAACAATAACAATGATGCCAGTAGCCGAGTGAAACTTCAGTAAAGAGGCAGAACATGCTTCATAAAAAACAGATAAAACTTGCAGAAAAATAACAATATGATAACTCCGTACAAGAACAAGATATAACAATGCAATAACAACAGGATATACTATATTAACAAAAATAAATAACAATGCAATAAATAGAAAGTTTGGAAATATGCAAAGATTGATGCAGGAGTTCAGAAAAAAAGTTCTGTTGTTATTAAAAGATGTATATCTCGGGTTATTAGTACGTCACTAAGTTCTTCCTGGTCTCAAATTACTTGGTTAATGTTTGATTTAACATTTTATTAATCACTAAATGAAATCTGACTAAGTTATTTAAAATGAGTCATTAACCATCATTTAACATTAAATTATTTTTATGTCCAAAACTTTCTTTGGTTAAAGACATACAGGGCTAGTCATCAGTGTTACAATTTTTAGACGTGGCACCTTTTAGTCTTATATGCCTCATCACACATCATTTACTTTGTACTTGCACCAAACAAATGTTGTAACCCTGATGACCAGCCCTGTATGTCTTTAATTGCTTTAACCAAAGAAAAATTTCTAAATAAAATAATTATTAATGTTAAATAAAGGCCCGTGACTCATTTTCAATTAGTCAGATTTCATTTAGTGTTTAATAACATTTTAAACCAGACATTTACTGAGTAATTTAAGACTAGAATGAACCTTTTGTCGTATTAACAAACCGAGATATAAATCTTTTCATAAAACTGATTTGGAAAAAGTTAGATTTAATATTGTGTTGCGGTTCATAGCTCAACTCTAACTCGTCCGATTTTAATGATCGATAGCTTAAATAAAAGCCCTTACATCACTGAATACTATAACGAATTGCAAGCGATAATAAGAACTAGATATATGAGAAAAATAATCAAAGTACGAAACGTCCGTAAAAGATGTATGGGGGGGGGGAGTTTTCATTTCAATATATTTTCGAAAAGAAAGACGATATTTACAAACGGTTTTCGGAATTGAAATTAGCGTAAACATCTATAGTTTATAATGATGAGTCACAACACCAGCATTACATTAAAAAAATTATATTAATGTCCAATATGGTAGATCCAAGACGGCGGGCCAAAAACACCAGCTTAGCCACACTTTCAGACAAAACACCCGGTAGTACACGATTCTATGTCACTACCTATCTATCACCACCAATCATAGTTTTTATCTGAATATTCAAAACGAAAAAATATATTTAAAAACATATTTCAGCATTGAAATCAGCGTGAAAATTTAGTTCATAATGATGTGTCACAAAACTAGCATTGTATAAAAAAATTATTAACATCCAATATGGCGAATCCAAGATGGCGACCGAAAACACCAGCTTGGCCACATTTTCAGACAAAATACTCGTTAGTACACGGTTCTACATGTCATTACCTATCAATCGCCAACAATCATACAATTGCTTAATTCAAAATCCTACAAAATTACATATGCCTCACATGTATAGTCTAATTTATTTTATTTTCTAATACCTATAATTTGTTTATAGCAGACCTACCCGTAGCAGCAGACCTGTATACTCAACGAATTACAAATGCTTCAATAAATAATTAAAATGGAGCCACACATCATCATTTCTCAAAGTATGTTCATGAACAAGCATGCAAAAAATTGTCCATAAGAATAACATTGGAAGTTAGTATGCAGGTTTGCTGCCACGGAAATGTAAAAATGGGGGATTTTAGGCCATATTCAAGTAGATCTCTACTAAATGAAGCCACATACCAATTATTATTAAGATATGCTGAGTAATAAGCTAGATATACAATTTTATTTTTTTCCCTATAAGGATAACATGGTGACAATGTTCTGTGTTTTCCGCCTTCAATATCTCGGTAACCAATGGTCATAGAGCAATGATTCAAAACACCAAATTGTTTGATTTTTTGAGCTGAATTCAATGGATTCGATTATTTTACTCTGAAAAGAGTTATTATGAATTTAGTGAATAGATGTCACACATGGCGGCCATCTTGGATTTACGACGTCATAAAAACCAAACCCCGCAATTTGAGGGTAAACACCCGGTACTACACCATTATGTGACATATAATAAAGAGATTCCACATAGTCACACATTTGCTTCACAAAAAATCCCACGGAAGCTGGATATGTGCAGTTTGCTCCTGGACTAGTATTAATAAACCTATTGATTGGTTAGGTTAAGCTGAAATAAACAAAACATACTTACAGCTGATGTATTTTTAACATTAGGTATATATGGAAAGTTCCCTTTGGAAAGCAATTACGACCTTATAGGGCAATTTAAGAAATAATGGATAACTTTGCGCAAGGTTTCTCGTCATGACGAACATTTTAAGTATATGGTTTATGGGGGTGTGACTTGTAGTTTCCTCAAAAGTTCATGGGTACTTTTGGCTTTATATATAGATGATACAACAATAAAACAGCTGATCAGCTGATTTACAACCAGTGCCGCCAACGTATTTTGCGTGCATACGACGTTGCCTGCATGTTACACGCTCACTATTTCGTGCCTTCACGTTGCAAATCTGGAGTGAGACAAAGTAATTAGAGTGGATGAGCGAATTGGCCACTTTGCTTTCTCAAATCAGTGAGAGAACATGTACATCGTTAGGTAACTGTAGGAAAAGAATAAAACAACTTTTAAAAATACATACAGCTGATTCAAATTATTAAATTAAACCGTAACAAAACACTAGCGCGCGTAGTGAATAAATGGAGAACTAATTGAGAGCGAGGAAAAGTAAATTTAGAGCGAGGGAAAATCAGCTGATCGATTTTCCCTTGCCCTAAATTAGAGCTTGGGAAACTACTACTTTCGCATTGATGTCAGCTGTTATCGAAAATGAAAATAGTTACTTTCGTTACTAAGGAGTGATGAAAAATATTTTCCATAACTATGAGGTAGTAGTGGAAGAATATTAGGAAAATCGACCTAACAAATTCGGACTAAGTTGAAGCTTTGCACAGTTGTTTAGTAAGCCTAAATAAATAAAATATCAAAAGTCCCCATAAATCCAGGCTGTGCTTCAGCCACCATCTTGGAAAATGGCGGCCAATTTTCACTTTTTTGACAATATTTCACAAACTATTGGTATTAGAGAATTTTCGTAAATGCAAAAATTAAAAAACGTCTAAAAATACATATTTTTTATATTTCAAGGTTTGCTCTATCTCTAACAGTTATTGAGATAAATAATAAAAGTTAATATTAAATTTAAAATTCCCATGTTATTCTTATGGAGGAAAATAAAATTGTTGCAGTTTGCTTATTTATGGATATATTTTGATCAAACTTGGCAAATTGATTTGTTTTATACTAAGCTATTAATATTTAACATAAATACACACTTTAGTACCCTCCCTATAGCAGTAAACCTAGTGTACTCGTTAAATTTGGTGTATACGTGTAGAATTTCATGGAATAGGTTTATACACCATCAATTTCGAGATCCGTCCAATCGGCTCGGCCCCAGTGACTCTGGAGTTTCCCATGTTAACCTTATGAGAAATGGAATTAATGAATCTTAACAGCTGTTTCAATTAAACAAGTTGGTTCTGTTCTATGATGTTCTTTTTCGTCTGCTGGCTAGTAACATAGACAAAAAGAATTAAATATAGACCGTCAGCTGTGCTGCGGTTACCATAGGTTCTGGCGCACACCGCTTGGAGCACCATGGTTGCCATGGTAGTTACGGCGTATGCGCTACGTAAACTACAGCGGTGTGCGCCGGAACCTACGGTAACCATGGCAACCGCAGCACGGTTGACAGTCTATATTTCATTCTTTTTGTCTATGCTAGTAATCACGATTTATCTTGCTTGCACTGTGACATCGTATCTGTTTAATTATTTATAACATACGCATAGTTTGCCAACAAATTGTATTGGATCGCAAACCTGGAAGTAAGATGAATGTATTAAACCATTAACTTTCTTTTTACCTCATCTAACTACGTGTTATTCCTCCAAATTGGTCCAGCCCTATTTTGCTTTGCCAACAATTTTGTCTGCCATACACATAACCCTAACCCTACTTTCACTTCTTTGTGGATTTGTGGAACGAAACGAAGGAACTGGACCAAGCAAACGAGTCTGCGTCTGTCATATTCCACAGCCTTCTAGATTTTGTCAACTATAAGAATAAACACTGTATGACACCCACCTATCTAATTGCAATCTGAGTTGTTGATATCTCCTTGATAAACTGAATTGTTCCGATTTGTGACTGCAATACTATACATCATGTCTGACGATGAAGTTTGTCCGGTATGCGTTATAAAGGTACTTAGTACTGATAAGAGCATTCAGTGTGACGGTCTATGTGACAGATGGTTTCATAAGGACTGTATAAAGATGACTGCCACTGAATATGCACGTTATGCTAACGATGATAGATTGAAGTGGGAATGTGGCCGAAATGACTGCATGAGACCGGAGGCCCAACCTCAAAACCTTCTTTTAAACCAGCTAACCATTCTCACGTCCAAAATTACTGAGCTTGCTGGGAAAGTAGACTCACTATCTGCTCTGCCTTCTAAATTGGATAATATCACGGCCAAACTGGATGAACTAAACAGCAACTTTGCGTCACTGGAGAACAGGATTGGTAACAATGAAATTAAGATCAAAACCATTGAGGATCGTTTAGAGAATATCAGCGTAACCCCAGCTACTAACCCCGAACTTATAATTGCTGAATCCAATGAGCGAGCCTACAGAGCCAGAAACATCATGATTTACGAATTGCCTGAGTGTGATAGCCGGGATGTCAGTGTCAGAAAAAAACATGATGTAGATCTGGCTGTTGAGCTCTTCAGTGGAGTGCGACCTGATGTGGTACTTGATGTGCGGGCTGCTGTTCGAGTTGGTAAAAAAACACCTAACAAGCCGAGACCCTTGAAAATTGTACTTGACAATGAAACTAATGCTAGAGGCTTCTCATTAGGAGTTTCACCTCTGAGACTGCAACTCAACTTGGCCATATGTTTTCTTCTGTTAAAGTGTCCAGAGACAGAACACCTCGTGAAATGCAATACTTTTTAAGACCCTGGCCTCTGAATTGGAGAAACGTATAAATCTGCTGGCGAAAAGGACCTGACGATTACCTACAAGAACAATGTCCCTCAAATTGTCAAACTTTCAAAAAACGATCAACTCCCAACTGTACACAAAATAGAATAAGTTGTTATTTCCAAAATGTCAATGGCCTGAGAAGTAAATTGGTTGATCTTGCTCACAGTGTTGCTGCCTCCTGTTATGATATACTGGCGTTTGTTGAGACTAACCTAACACCGGACATCAAGGACACTGAACTAGGCCTAGATGGTTTCAACATTTTCAGGTGTGACCGCAACGAACTTTCTAGCTGTAAATCTAGTGGAGGAGTTTCTCTTATTGCTGTCCGTAACACAATCCAAAGTCGCAATTGGTCTCCAACTACTTGCACCAGTGAAAGTGTATTTGTTGTGTGCAACCTGCTATCCTCTGTTGTGTTGTTTGGTTGTACTTATATACCTCCCAGCCAGCGTCTGTCCGCATACTCCAGTTACTGTGATGCTGTTGATGAAGTATTAATAACGGCTAATGTGGATAATACAATATTGATGGGGGATTTCAACTTGCCCAACGTTGAGTGGTCTGACTTTGATCCTACTATAGCGCTTGATGACTCTTCCCGTCTGGTCTCTGACTTGGCTCTCACGCATGGATTGACGCAGATCAACGGCGTCCGTAATTCCCGTGGCGTCTGTCTCGACCTCATTTTCTCATCCTTCCAAGAATCCATTGTTACTGCAGCTGATGACATCCTGCTGGCTGAAGACAGGCATCATCCAGCCCTCACAGTTATGCTTCCCATTAACAAGAAACCTCTGTTTCCTGAACCAAAATATGTTCTTAACTTTAGAAGATGTAACCTTGATGCAATTTTTCACCAACTACAAGATCTCACCATTCCACAGGCAAGTGACCTGCATAATATTAATGATGTTTTCAGCTCCTTCTGTGAGAACCTAAAGCTCCTAATTGAAGCTAATACTCCCCTTAAGATGATAAGGAATTCCAACTTTCCTAAATGGTTCTCAAGTGATTTAAAACGACTGATTATAGAGAAGAAGATGGCCCACAAATCATTTAAGGCGTCGGGAGACCACGTGGATTTCGTCAACTTCACAAGACTTAGAACTAGATGCAAGGAGATGACTCGTGTGTGCTACGATGCGTACATAGCCAACATTGAGGAGACGATTCCATCCAATATAAAGTCATTCTGGTCGCATATTGAGAATCTCAGGCAAACGTCTATACTGTTCCTCCAAGTCTTAAACTTGACTCTATGGTGGCGACTGATTGTGTTGACAAATGTGAACTTTTTGCGAAACATTTTTCATCTGTATTTTGCAGTGCTGACTTTCCTGTTCCTGCATTTGATTTTGGATTAAACGACACCGTCTCCCATTGCTCAATCTCGGCTACTGTTGTTGAAGAGAAGTTGAATGCTCTTGACCACAATAAGAGTGCAGGTCCGGATAATATCCCTCCACTTGTACTAAAGTTCTGTGCCCCTGTACTTGCTCCTCACCTGGCTGTGCTTTTCAATGCGTTAATTAAAGAGGGCATTTTCCCATCATTCTTAAAGCTTAGCTATGTTGTGCCCATTTTCAAATCTGGCAGTAGGTGTAATGCTAAAAACTATAGACCTATTGTGATTCAACCTACGATTGCTAAGGTTTTTGAAAGTATTGTCCTGGAACATTTATATTTTAACCTCAAGAAGTACATTGCACCTGAGCAGCATGGTTTTCTTGATGGAAAATCAACCATCACTAATCTCCTGTGTTTCCAAGAATTTGTAATGTCAGCCTTCGGTAGATCTAGTCAGGTCGACTGCGTGTACTTGGACTTTTCTAAGGCTTTTGACAGAGTTCAACATCGCCTTCTGGTAGCAAAACTGGCTGCCTATGGTGTTGGTGGTTCGTTGCTCAGGTGGGTGGAGAGCTATTTGAAGGAGAGATATCTCATCGTTAAGTGTGAAGGAGCTACTTCTAAACCATTCCCTGTAATCTCTGGTGTCCCCCAAGGTTCTCACATCGGACCCCTACTTTTTGATCTGTTCATCAACGATATTGGAACGGTCTTGACCACCAACTACCTCATGTTTGCTGACGACATAAAGATTTTCTCGGAAATCCACTCCGTGTCTGATCAAGAAAACCTTCAGAGATCCATAGGTAATGTCGTTGGGTGGTGCAAAAACAACTCCATGGACTTAAATGTATCTAAGTGCCAGGTCATGACTTTCAAGAGAGGACTGAACATTCTCAAGTCGGAATACTACATCAATGGGAGCACTCTTCCATCTATGGATAAAGTAAAGGACCTTGGAATATTCTTGACACCTTCACTCAGCCCCTTTGACCACATTGTCCACATCACATCAAGGGCGCATGCACTTCTGGGGTTTGTCTTCAGGTCTACTAGGAACATCCAAGATCCTCGGTCACTTGTGTTGCTGTACAAGACCTTGGTCCGTCCTATACTGGAGTATGGCTCTGTGATATGGTCGCCTCATCAGCTGGGTCACATTGATTTGCTGTCTCGAATCCAAGCTCGCTTCATTCGGATGTTGGGTATCCGGATTGGTTATGCTTATACCGATGTACCAATTGAAGAACTTCAGAGGATCTTTGGTATCCAACCTCTTCACATACGACGTAGACTGGCTGATCTTGTGGTACTGTACAAGCTGGTTAATGGTCTTCTGGACAGCCCCGACCTGCTCTTCAACATTGACCTTATTGTTCCGAGAGGTACTCGCTCCAGAGCAATTTTCCAGCGCAGATTCCATCCCACATCATATGCGTACAACAGCGGCTTGTCTCGGTTACTGCGTGAGGGCGCTGTGGCGGCTGCTCATGTGGACTTCTTCAGCACTTCAGCTCCTGTTTTTAAAAGATGTGCCAGTGCCTTTTTAACCTAGTGGCTGCCTAAGGGCTTCAGTAAAGTTTCAGTTATTTCTTTGGTGGTGCCTTTAAAGGGCCACATTTGTGTCCAGTTGGAGCTTCCTGTTTGTCTATTAAATAAGTTTCCTGTTGTGTTTGCGTTTGTTAAATTAATTTATGGCTGTTGTTTTGTATATATATATATATATTTATTTATTTTTATTGTTGTTGTTGTTGTTGTTGTTGTATCTTACTTTTTCTTTTGTTAGTCTACCGGTATTGCACTTGTTGTTTCCATTTTTCTCGTTGTTGTTATGTCTCGGTTGCATATTGTTAAATATTGTTGTTGTTATGTTTTTCCACTTCATATTTTACCTATTGTTGTTATCTTTTGCGCCATATTATTATGTCTTTTGCATCTTATGCCTGCTTCTCATTTTCATTCTTATTAATTGCACGTATTTTAGTAGCCTGTGAGTGAAAATTTAAAAACGTACGTTTTCAGGAAAAGCACTTTGCAAATTTTTTTCCCCTTTTTTCAAAACTTTTATTATTTTTTTTATTTCATTAACATTTGAAGTTTTATAAAATGTCCATGGTAACGCAATATCTTTGGTAGTTTCTTTTTAAAAGAGCATCTTTAGTGGAAAAACACAAAATCCTGTCACGACCATAACGGACGTTTAAATGAATATTAAAAATAGTTAGTATTATTTTTATAGATATGTTTTGTTATAAACTAATTTACTTTTATGACCATTATACAATAAAAAGGTCACTGAGCTTTTGGTATATTTAGTCTTTCTAGAAAAAAATAAAAAACTCAAAAAACTGAAAAAAAGCCAATAAAATCTTTTTAAGTTTGTATAACTCTGAGAAAACTTACCTGAGACCCGAAAAATCGTTATGTTTGTATAGAGGTGTGCTTCTTTTGTGTATAAAACATTAAAATATGACGATGTTTTAATTTTTGAAATTTTTATGATAGAAATCATAAACGTGATGGTCAGGGACAAGCGGTACGGTCGTGAATTGTCTGGAATAATCTTAATCTTTCTAAACAATCCTTCAATTATCCTGTTAGTTATAATAAAAATATGTGTTTCAATTGCACTAAACTGTTCAATTTACAATTATACCGGGTGTACACAAAAGAAGTAAACAACTTTGTTTTAAAATTATAGCGAAGTTTTACTAACTTATAAAGACTAACATACACCATTAGAAAGAGAAAAACCTCAAGTTTTTTCCTATATACTATAAGTGCTCAATATGTGAACCTCGGCTTGCTTTGCAGACATCTATTCTAAAATCAAATTCTGACCAAACCTTTTGAAGAGTGGCTTCATTAACACTTTGTACTGCAGCAGTAATGCGATTCCTGAGCTCCAAAAGAGTCAACGGCAAAGGAGGAACAAAAACTCTGTCTTTCACATAACCCCACAAAAAAAAATCACACGGGGTTAAGTCCGGGCTTCGTGGAGGCCAACGTAAGAGGTGTAAGTTGTCGTCAGCAGCACGGCCAATCCAGCGCTGCGGTAGACTCTCGTCAAGGTAGTCTCTTACATCGTGCAGCCAGTGTGGCGGTGCACCATCTTGCACCCAAACAAAGTCTTCACTGTCTTCCTCGAGTTGAGGCATCAACCATTCACTCAGCATGTCTAAGTAAGCATTTCCTCTGACGGTTGCTTCTTGAAAGAAAAATGGACCATACACCTTCTTCTTTGATACAGCACAAAATACGTTCAGCTTAGGTGAGTCTCTCTCATGTTCAACAGACTCTCGAGGATTTTCGGTCCCCCAAATTCTTACATTGTGTCTGTTTACTTTACCACTTATGTGGAACGTTGATTCGTCGCCAAAAATGAGTCTTTCATAGAAACCATCTTCTTCCTGCAGTTCCTGCAGATCACTACAAAACTCAAAGCGTTTCACTTTGTCGCCATCGTTCAGACTTTGCAACAACTGCAGTTTGTACGGAAACATCTTCAGACGTTTTCTCAAAACCTTCCAAATCGTGGAATGCGGCATTTGAAGCTCCATACTCATCTTCCGCGTTGATTTCCTCGGAGTGTGTACAACAGTTGCACGGACTAACTCAACCTGAGCATCAGACGTCGCTGGTCTTCCAGAGCTCTTTCCTTTTCTTATGCAACCCGTGGCCTTGAATTTCCGATGCCAATCGTAGATTGATTTCCTATTTGGAGGGTCTCTATGATATCGTGTCCGAAAACGACGCTGAACAGTGGTAGCAGATCGAGTTCTTTCAAACTCCAGGACACAAAACGACTTTTCTGTAAGAGTATTGACCATTTTCAACGAAATCACTAAACGACTACTTTTGCCACATTGTTGGCATTGTTGACAACAGTCAGCTGTGTGGAACAAAACTTGAGGTGTTTTCCAACACATTGATACCAACCACAGCGATGTCGAACACGTAGTTTTTGTTATATTAACGTACAAAGTTGTTTACTTCTTTTGTGTACACCCGGTATTAAAGTTCTTGTCACGACCAAACACACTATAATCCAAAAGGCTGGATTGGTCGTGAAAAAACCCGCGATGGTCGTGAAACTTTGGTCGTGAAATTACGTGTTATTTGGCTCTGTTCTGGTGGTAGCCCTGCACCTCATGTTCGAGGATACAAAGTGGACTTCAAGGTTAATCTAGCAATTGAAATAACTTATAAACAAAAATTAACACCATGTCTACTTCATCGAATGACTACGTACGGTCATGGACACACCAAAATTACAAAAAACACAATCTTTCCTTTATTAATCTTGTAATTCCTCCTTTCAACTCGAAACGACCGGCACCACAATCCTGACGTACACCCCGAACTAGTCTCTAAAACCAACTGACTCCATCGACGCCAGGCTTGCCACTGTCGTGCTCCAAAGTTGAAAAATTTTCCCAAATGGTCGTGACGCCAAATCGAGGGACAGACTTATTTTGTCATGGTAGTCAGTTTGTAATGACAATAAAATTATAATATGCTCCTTTTTTGTAAGTTTAATAACCATTGATGACATAAAAATATGGCTTTATATATTTCGGCATGAATAATTAGTCTAAAAACAGCGTGAAAGTTGGAGAATGTACCCTAGGGACACGTCATGGTCGTGAATTTCGAGACTTTAAAAATACAAAAAAAAAACCTAGAACCTATTTAAAACCAAATAAATGTGTGTAACATGTTGCCCCCGTCCCAAAAAATATTAAAACACATAATAATAAACTACAAATCCAGTATCTACGAAGTAAAAGGCCAGGGACATGAAAACGTACGTTTTTAAATTTTCACTCCTGTACCAAATTTGCTATGTCTTTGTATGCCTTATACTAGAAATGTTTCAGCCTATGAATGTATTTTTGTTTTCTTTTATACTGGTTATGTATTTTGCATGTCATGTCTGCTTTTTAATTTATTCTATTATTGCTCATATTTATTACCTAATTATGCTATGTTATTAAGTGATTTAATCCTATTTAATGTATATTCTAATGTAAAAATGGTGTTACCGTTGAATGAATAAATAAATAAATAAATAAATAAATAGCATTAAAGTTACAAGGATTACCAACAGGGTGCAGCACTATTATTTCTTTTACATTTATGACAACAGCTAATTTGCAACCAAAAGGTGAGTGAGCATAGCGAACGAACTTCAACCTGGAGGCGAGTTAGCGTAGTGAACGAGCTAATCTGAAGGCAAGTGCCATGCGAACGAGATCATCTTGAAAATTAAGAAGTTAAACGGGGCAAAGCCCGCGGGTTACAGCTAGTCTATATATATAAAATACAATGTATGTTTGTTTGTATGTATGTTTGTTAGTATGTTTGTTTGTTTGTACTTTATGGACTCCGAAACCGCTCGACAGATTGTAATGAAACTTTCAGGTATTATTAAGCATTATTCAAGGATGGTTTGTGTGAAGTTTGGGGCAGATCTGTCAAAAGAGCTCCGCCCCAGTGGCTCTGGAGTTTCCCATGTTAACCTTATGAGTATTTATATTTAAATGTAAAGAATCTTAACAGCTGGTTCAACTAAAGAATTTGATTCTGTGATGTTCAGTAGCATTAAAAATTTAATAGGTTTACCAACAGGGTGCAGCACTATTATTTTTTCAAATGTATGACAACAGCTAATTTGTAAGGTGAGTGAGCGTAGCGAGCGAGCTAACCTGAAGGCAAGTGAGCGCAGCAAACGAGCTTCAACCTTAAGGTGAGTGAGCGTAGCGAACGAACTTTAACCAGGACGTGATTGAGCCATGCGAACGATCTCATCTTGAAAATGAACGAGCATTTGAGATAAAACCACATTAGGACAGGACGACGTGTCGGGCCAGCTAGTGGTATATAAAGAAGAGTGAAATTTTAAAAAATCATTTAAATTTAATAATTAGTATTTTTGCAATTTCAAAATTGAAATTTAAAATGTCAATGATAAATTAGAAGATATGTTATCAAGGGAGATATGCTAGCTGTAACCCCTGATATAACAGCCGTAGATGAAGGTAAATCATGTACGTCAAAGTTTTATTCGAAGATTTGGTCTGTTTTTCTTATATCAGCCTACACAAGATTTAAAATTAATCAAACCCAAAATGGTGGTATCCACTACTTACCAGATTTAAAAGTCATAACTTAATCTTAAACGTTTCTATTAAGGCTATAAAAGTTTAATTTTGTTTCTAAATGCGTTGGCGGATGTGTAACTATTATATGCAACAGATGTAAAGATTAAAATGTTTCTAATTTATGTCCTCTTCCCGTTGCAAAGCACGGGTACAACAGCTAGTTATCTATATTATTTTAAATAGTGTACAGCTTTTAAGGTAAAATAAGTTAACGCCACACTACACTGTTTTAACCAACTTCCCACACAAGGATTTAGTCCAGATAACAGCTGTTTGCCGCCAGCTTAATCAAATGGGGTTTCATTACGTAATACTGTACTGTAATGAGCTTTTACCGGACAACAACCAGCTGATTTTATTTGGCAATGAGTGATTATAAACAAATACATAA